AGCACTGTAGCGTGAGGGGAGGTGGGCGGGCCTGGGCGCTCTTTAGTCCCGCCCCGACACGAGGAAGAAGACCTGTGCTTCCCCCTCCCCTCCCTCTTTTGTGCGCCTGTGGCGTAGCTCCCGCCTCCGCATCGATTTTTGTGACCGCTTACGCAATCAGCGCCGTCTCCTTGACGCCACTTTACGTAAACACTGCGTCGCCGCTAGCGCATAAAGACGGCAGAGTCGTCTTCTTCGCCTCACGTCAGTGACCCACTTTTTAGTTCACGCAAATTACGGTGCGGCACCGCTGACTCTGATCTCGCGGCGGCGCAGCAGTTGCTGTTATTGTTATACTCTGAATGACTAACCCTCCCCCCCGCAGGTAGGTCACAGGGACAGTAGCAAGCTGCCACGTGAACGGGGGAAGCACGACGCAGGCGCCGACGCCGCTTAGTCCGCCGAGGGGCCGCCTGGCGCATGCGCAGGAGAGCGCCTCCTCTACGCCTAGTTGGGCCAAGGGGAACACAAACAGCCTTGGTGCGCATGCGCGGTCAGTTGCCTAGCCGTGGGAAGCGCAGGCGCAGATGTGTCGAAGGTGCCAGAAAGATTGAAACGGCGGCGGTGACGGCTGTGGCGACAGGAGATCTGGTGAGGGGTCAATTTATTTCGTGCCAAAGTGCGGACGGTCAGGAAAAGATGGGAAATAACATCGGGATGTCAAGAGGAGGGAGCTGTGCGTGATAGGGAAGGAGGGGGTCGTTCTGTGGTGTATTTGAGGGAGAGGCGTTTGAGGGGGTGGTTCCTACCAGAAAAAAATGCAGAAGGGGGGGCGAGGAATAAACGAAAGAAATGGAGAGGGGCGAAATATCGAAACCGGGGGGAGGGGAAGAGGCTTCCTGCGACGTAAGAGTGGAAAAACGAGGGGAGGGGCGCGGGAGGGTTGTCTGTGTCGAGGAAATGGAGGAGGGATGTCAAAACAGGTGAAAAGCGCCGTGGGGGAGGGGCCTCAGACGGTCGTTCCGACGGGCCATCGCCCCTCCCCCATCTGGGCGGGGCTGCCTTTCCCTGCAGGGGCGGAGTTTCATGCGGGGTGGGGCAGGTGGGGGCTCGGCCTGTGCAGCTGGGGAGGAGGCGGGCGCTGCGCCAAGCCGGGGTTGAGCCCCAGCGCGGGATTCGTCCACACCTCGGGCGGTTGTGCTGGTCCTTGTGACAAACAGCGGGGGCCGGGGGCGTCGGGGCAAGGAAGGCCCGCGGCCGCCCTCGTGTGGTGTGTCCGCGCCTTGCAGGCTTTCGGAAAGGCGGCTGGTCGGCCATGAAACAGCATTTTGCTCGTCCAAAGGGCAGTTCGAGAAAGGGTTTGTCTCTGGCTTTTGCTGGGGAATCGGAAGCAGAATTGGGCTCTCAGAGCTGGCTGGTTGTTGTTGTTTTTCTCCTCCTCTTAGCCTTGTTAGAGCCAGTTTGGTGTAATGGTTAAGGCACCAGGCTAGAAACTGCGAGATTGAGAGTTCTAGTCTCGCTTTAGGCAGGAAGCTAGCTGGGTGATTCTCTCAGCCCTAGGAAGAAGGTACGGGCAAATCACTTCCTGAAATGTTGCCAAGAAAACTGCACGGACTTGTTCAGGTAGTCACCAGGAGCCAACACTGACTCAAAGTCACGCACACTCTTAGACTTGTAGTGTTTATGAAGATGTAGATCTTTTTTTTATTCCTAGTGTTTTTGCACAGGTGCAGGGTCTGCTTTTTTCAGATCAACCAAATGTTGATTGGTTGGCTGTGACAGGAATTGACCAACTGGCTTGTTGCCCGAGCCTGATGTCAGGGGCTGAGAGTGACTGGCCCAAAGTCACCCAGCTGGCTGTCATGTCTAAGGCAGGACTAGAACTCAGAGTCTCCTGTTTCTAGCCTGGAGCCTTAAATAGTAGACCAAACTGGCTCTCAATAGATTTGTATGGTTACTGTTCTCTTAATTGGGGTAACAGCTGGAAGAGTTGAACTGATCCAGTAACTCCCATTTCTCATTTTGCAGATCTTTGTGTGGTGAAATTGGAATCTGAAAGGATCCTCCTTCAAGGCTTCTGATCAGTTTCTGTATTTTCTTAATTTAACCTGGCAAGAGACTCTTCTTTTTTATCTGTTTTCAAGTACAGCATATCCATTCAATCCTAGTTTATAATCTTTAAACTTCCTAGGATTAGCATTTCTACATGGCTGACATGAGAAGGCAACTTTTTGCCCACATTTGGGAAGAGGAAGAATGCCTCGAGTACTATGGGATGATTTCCCTGCATCAGATGTTTGAAGTAATTGGTTCTCAGCTCACAGAGAATGACGTGGATGTGCTCTCGTTCCTTCTGGATGAGACACAGCCCTGGACTCATCCACTGGATCCTGCCCTTTGGACTGTGGCAGCAGCAGAAGAAGGCGGTTCTGAGATTTCCTCACCGGCATTAGAGAACTGGAAGAGGAAAAACCAGTGCCAGTGTAATTTGGGCAAGAATGATGGCAATCTTGAGACAGTTGCAGGGAAGCGGCAGCCAAAGAATGGTGTCCAGCTATTCCTGGAGCTAGAGAGGAGAGGCAGATGTGACGAAACCAACTTTGTACAGCTCTTACAGCTTCTGAGGGTGCTAACAAGGCACGATCTATTACCATATGTTACCCTGAAAAGGCAGCGCACAGGTACTGGATTAGTACAGTAGAGAAAATGTATCCTTTCATTGTTGACTGAATCTAACAAAGTAACAGGTTTCTTTTATTAGTGGGTATTTAGCCCTAGCTCACATTCCACCTACCTTGCAGCCGTTTTAGTAACAGTAGGATAAATTTTAAAGGAGGTGAATGGTTATGACAATTTCAGGCACTGAATAATTCTTTGCATATAATATTGTTTTGAATATTGTGACCAATAAGTATATCAGCAGAACTGATATCTAAGCTGATTTGACCAATTGGTATTGTTTCCTTGCAGAACTCTTCCAGTTGAAGTACTGCCTACTTAGTATAACTTTCAAAACTCTTTTAATTTCAGTTTCTCCTGAGAGATACACCTATGGACCATCTGTTCTGTCAGCAGATCAGCAAGTGGACAACTGTCTGAATTCAGCCTCTTCAGAGCCTCGGCATGATCAGTGGGAGACAGGTGTGTGAATTGTGCAGTCTGAAAAGAGAGTGATATCATTCCGTGTTCTGGATTGTCTTTTAACTGTATTGATTGCAAACGCTGAGCTCTTACAAAATTCAGGTTATTAATTCCAAACTATATAGTGCTATAGCTAGTAAAAGACTCATTTTTAAACTAACCTAACTTTTCTCAGATAAATTATAAGCAATGGCTATCTTTTATCTGCTGGTATTTGACATTATTGAATCATCGATGTAGGATGGCAGATCTGTGTAATGTGAGATTTATTACTAGGCTGACGGGGAACACCACTAATAGCTTGTACCATCCCCCCCCTTTTTCCTCTAGGCTCTAATTCAAGCAAAAGGAAGCGAGTAAGCAGAGGTCGATCAAAGGCTACTCCTCCCTGTAGACGACGGGGAGCTAAAGCAGCTTCTGCTCCAAAGCAGGAGGTCCCAGCTCCCACCAAAGTGACTTGTGGTAGGTGTCTGCCTAGCATGAGCTGTGTTCCTGGGGTTCACTTGATCTGGAATTTTTTTTGGGGGGGGGAACCCATAGCATGAGCTGTGTTCCTGGGGTTCACTTGATCTGGAATTTTTTTTGGGGGGGGGAACCCATAGCATGAGCTGTGTTCCTGGGGTTCACTTGATCTGGAATTTTTTTTGGGGGGGGGAACCCATGAAACCACTCTAAAACACATTAGCAACCTTGGTTTCTATTAAGGGTCATTCATTCTATTTCTCTCTTTCTTTGACTGGAATCAAAGGAGAACACCTGGTTGGGGGAGGAAAGTATATATTCAGTAGCTAAATTACAGGCTGTCCTGTGTAGGTAATGAAACTGAAGTTTTGGCTTACACTATTAAGTGCAGTTTAAACCTGGTGTTAAGTGAAAATGGGAGTTTTGGCCCCTCCTTGAGAGAGGGTGGGAAGTCTCCAACCCACTTCACAGAATTTGTCTTCAGTTCCCTGTGTGATCTGGTGATGGACAATTATTTTCATTACTATCAAAATGATCAGATTTATAATCAATAAAATGTATAGCCCAGTCTTCATACAAAATTTTCTTGGGCATCTGACATAACATAAAAAGTCTTATGAATGCCTTCCAACTAGGATATCCGTAACATCAGTTTTTGGGAGACTTATTTCAGTACACCAAAGTGCTTCATATGCTGGTCTTGAAGAGAGTGTCTTAATGGCTCTGATGATGATATCCGTGTTGAGCTGGAGAAGTGCCAAGATAATCTGGTTAGTTCCGCTTTCATTTAATAATTTCAGATGAAAAATTGCATCAACTTCTGGTGAAAATATTAATTCCAAATGAAAGACTTCTGACCTCAGACTGGAAAGATTTAGAGGGCTTTTTTATGTGTTAGATAAATAACAGAAACTTGTCAGGATAAACCAAGTTTCTTTTGAAGCTAGTTTTTTCATACTAAATCATTGGGAAAATAATTATTCCTGTTTATGCTGCAAGGAGTTCATACATGCCAACTCATTCTCTGTGGGATGGTGTTATGTAGTAATAAAACTCATGAGT